ACTTAACAGCGAACAAACGCACGGACTACATTGGTCGAAACAGAAAAAATGTGCAGACAAATAATAAGCACTAAACAAGCTATAAGCAGATGTGTAGGAAGAAGGCTATTGGTATGTAAACAATTAAAATGTAGCCAAAAAATAAAGAGACCAGCAAAGTTAATTAGCTGGGCAACCGCGAGCGCGTAAACATGACAAAGTTGCAAGCTGAAGCATATGTTTCCCGATAAGAATTTAAAACAGGCGTAGACAGCAAGAGTTATTGAATTCAATAAAGTTCGTGACGGCTTCTCAACTGCATCCCGTCGTTGCATCCGTAAGAATAAGTGGACGTACGCAAAGACAAGTGGCAGCCGGGGCCGCCGAAAACCTGCCTTATTGGATTTCCAAACAAGAAGACAGAGTACCAAGATCTTCGATTACTAAACACCTGCTAGACAGTGGTCGCTCTATCGAAATCAAAACTTGTTCGGGCATGAAGAAATCGGACCCCGCACTACTTGGAAGCGTCTACATACGGCAGGGGAAACCCGATTTGTGCAAGCAGCTAGACCACGGGGTCAATCTCCAATTAGCTTAGAAATTGAGCAGCTAGTTATAACCACTACTTCATTTGCATCAACTTCCTCTGCCGCCTTTTCCTCCCTATAGACTGATTTGATTTATTGCCAATTCTGTTGATCAGTATTCATACGGAACTATGACCCTTGCCATTATAAACTGACATTCTGTGAAATCCAATCTGCTGTATGCTTCTATTCGTTATCTGACTCATGCAGCAACGGGATGTAGTTGAAAAGGCGTCGCGGAATTTATTTAAATTTAATAAATCCTGTTGTCTACGCTTGTTTTAATGTTGCAATACTTAAAAGGACGTTAGAATAGTAACTTTTCCATTAGGTTAACGAGTAACTGTTGTTTCAGAACTTATATGTATAATAAAAGCACTATCCTAAGGAAGACCAAAGTGCCAAACCAGACGGCAGCAAGGTTTCAGCACGAAGGAATTGACTTTGTTACCTCGGTTCCATATCGAAAAGCAGTGACAAGAAGACGTTGACCGAGTCCCTCGTTAGAAGCGAAATTGGATGAAGCCAAGAGGATCTTTGTGAGCAGAAGAGTCCGTCTATTCAGGTTAATCTGCACTTCCACTGGACGATATACACCCGCCAGGGTGGATCGTTGAAGAAGTTGAAAGACAGCATCAGTAAGGCCCAAGGAAGTCAGCAGTTCGTAACCGGCTTTACAGGAGGCGACTCGCCCAACAGCAAACAGTAGCAGGGGAGAGCATAATTTTTGCAAAGAAACCGTTTGAAAAAGAAGGTGTAGATTGGACGTGGGTGGTGGTGGTGGTTCGGCGCCAGCATGCACATCCACTGCCCCTTCATACTCAAGTGTAGCCTGGAGACACTGACGAATGGATTGCAGGAACTGGTGCAAGAGCTGTCCGGGAAGGCTATCCTAGAGTGGAATGAGAATAGGCAGGTGATCAAAGGTGCCCACTACCGAGGCATAAGTACACAGTATGTCTATGAATTGGAGCAAAGGTAATGACGAAATTTATAAAATCAGACTATGTCTACTTTTACGAAGTAAGTAGACAGTTTTGTGAAAAATAAGCTGACCTGAGACGTAAACTAGGATTCCACCAATTTGACTTGGTAGTTTAGCATATGGTTTATCCATTTTTTGATCTACTGAGTGAATTTAATCGTGAGGAAGCCTTTTAGTTTAGAAAACTGCCCTCTAGTTAAGTTCATTAAGGTTAATGGGCATTACCTTTGGCTAAATAAGGAAGAGCCTAATATCGACGGAACCAAACCTTTTATTAATAGGCATCATGCTATGGGAGAATCCCAAAATAAGTAAGGAAAGTTTAAAACGTATCCATTTCAGAACAGAAAAATTGAGTTCGAAGTTGCCAAAATGCAAGTGCAGCCAACGTAAAGGACTCGCATTTACCTTCAGAAACAATTTCATTTTACAAATTATTTTTGCTATGCTATGAAGTTTCTTTGCCACAAAATGCAGTAAAAGTTTTAATCGTACTTTGTTCTAGTGCGTCAAGTAGTTGGGAGGAAACCAACACTTTGAAGGTAAAAGCGATCTTGTTAAACTTGAGTGATGTGGAATTATACAATTTTTCGTACACTATAATTCACGTTTATGCGTAATTTAGAAACGGAAACAGACAGGAAATGAATGATTATCGCAATATCTTAATAGAAATTCGTCGACTTTTTTTTGCATTCGCAAGCTTAGAATACAGCTTGGAAGTAATCCAGTACATGGCGGCATATACTTTAATATAAAGAGAAAAGTGACTTCTCGCAGCTCCAGCCAAATTGTATCATGTATCTTCAGGTGAACTAAAAAAAAACTTTTCAAAATTCCCCATTTCCATTATGGCATTACCTTGAAAAAAGGGTAACATGAACAGATATTCGTCAGCTGAATAGCTAATTAGAGTGTTTTTTAAAGAGCTAAACGGCAACAGCAGCTTATGTAGCCCCACTCATATACCCCTAGTCCCAGCATTTTGTCCTGCGAAAACGGTGGTTATAGAGTTTTCGGGGTGGGGAGATAGGATAGGCAGAGAAGGATATTTTTAGAAGTAAGCGTTAAGTGAAAAAATGTAGTCGAAAGTGCTTCCCGCGGCCGCTGGGAGTAAGTTGTTCCGCATGTAAATTGAAGGTGTGTGTGCGCTTTCCCGCGCGGACTATAATAACCTAACTACAGAACGGCAAGTTGAAGAAAGACGAAATTCAAGAAACCTGCAATTTGATAATCAGGTTTTTTCACAATAATTTAAACGATAATACAGATTAGGAAAATCTACAGATATAAATAAAAAACACTTCGAAATACAGTAAAATAAAAATGCATTTAGCATTTATTAAAG